TTTTTGCCACCACAAAGTACATAATGTTTTAACTGTTTAATCTCTTTAAATATTATTTCATTGTTGATTCAGTTTGGCACATACGATGTGAGAAAAATCTTTGAAACACAGCAATATTAGGGACCTTACTTGTAAAGAATTCTGTCACTTAGAGTTAGTGGCTAAAGAAAGGTCTTAGAAAGGATTTCCAGAAGTGGAAATTCCATTTTCTTCCTCTTATGCTAAGGAACCCAGACCTCTGTGCAAGCTGTGGACGTCCTATGACCTTGAGTTAGGCCTCCAACTACTATTTGGAGGGGGGGGCATTTTATTCTAAGACAAGGTTGATTACCTTGTCCTCCTAAGAAGCCAGGACTATAGGCATGCATCACCAGGTCTGGCCGATCCCACTTTTTACATGCTCCCTTTCTGGATGAAGCTAAAGGAAATTATTACCACTCTCCTATCTCAGGGCCAGTCTGAGACGTGTCCCAATGCTCTGGGAAGTGGTGGCTGGGGACCTTTTATACCTTACAAAGATACCAATGTTGCCACTATAAAGGAAAGGGGTGGTTATTTAACTTTGGTCAGTTGTTTTCTTTTAATGTTCTCTTCTGCTTTGGTTCTCTTCATAGCTGTAGCCTGAGTTTACTCTTTTCCCCTTCTGAATTCATGCTGCTTACTTAAGCTGATGTATCACAGGATGACTTGTGATGCTTAACTGAGTCCTTCCTAGGGGTATCAGGTGGCTTCGTTATTCAGTGTCTAAGCCAGTGGTTCTCAACCTGTGGGTTGCAACCTCTTTGAGGTCGCATGTCAGATACTCTGTATATCAGATATTTACATTATAATTCACAAAGTAGCAAAATTACAGTCATGAAGTAGCAATAAAAATTTTATGACTGGGGTCACCACAACATGAGGAACTGTATTAAAAGAGTCACAGAATTAGGAAGGTTGAGAACCACTGTTCTAGGAGTTCTAGGTCAGACTATGTAGGGAGTTCCAGGATAGCCAGGACCACACAAAGAAGAGCTATATCAAAAAGACAAAAAGAAAGAAAGAAAGAAAGAAAGAAAGAAAGAAAGAAAGAAAGAAAGAAAGAAAGAAAGAAAGAAGAAAGGAAGGAAAACTAAATGACTACTTCAGCAGTTTCTTTTTCTGCAGTCTCTTGAAGCCAGATTCTTTATTCAAAGAAAAACAAAGCATGTTGGGTTTTTTGCATTTGTTTTGTGTGTATGCCCACTTGTAGATGTCAAAGAACAACTTGAGGGAGTTGGCTCTCTCCTATCATGTGGGTTCCAGGGATTGTACCAGCTGAGCCACCTTGTCAGCCCAGTTAATTTTTTTAAGTCTTACCGTATTTTTATACCTCATACCAAAAGGACTTAAGCTGATGGCAAGTTCTTTCTTCTCTCTAACACCAAAGTCACCTGCTCCAAACTAGACAAACTAGACATATCTGATATTTGTACAGGAAGGCCTAGGGTACCACATTGTCAACACTTCCAAACAGAACTGAGGCACTTAGGCTTCAGTATGATACTTTGAGCTTCGAGATTAAGCATCATTATATAACATGCCTCTTTATAAAATGTACTTTCCCAGAGAGTGATCCAAGGCATTGGTCCTGAAAATAATCTTTTTTCAAAGTTTTTTTTCATTGAACTACATTTCAGAAACCTTCTATATTCAATTCTATGTTCTACGCCAACAGAAAAATCTGGAAGGCCCTTGGGCATGCCTATCACTTAGCCTTGTTTCAACACTATGATCTGTACTCCTGGAAGAGAATTCAGTATTAAATAAAGCAGCAACATAGACATTGCTCAGGATTCTTACTAAGTAAATTTCCATTCTAGGGTAAAAATAATCATGTCATACAAACACTGGCTACTTTAACCAATAACATGAGACAGGGGCTTTAAATAAGACCTGGGTTCAAATCACAAGCCAGCTTATTATTTCCACCTCTCTTGCCAGAACTTTCCAAATCTGAGTAAGCTAATTTGCACCTCTTTATACCTATCTATCTGAGCATCGTTATCAGCTGGCACAGTTTCAAAGTATTCGGCCCTAAATATTGTAATTAGTGTTAAGTATTTTATATCTCATTTGACACTCTCCCAAGCATTTTATTGATTATCCCACGCAACGATAAAATGTGTGTGATTCTGGTCTTATTAATGCCTTTATGGAGAAGGAACTAAGATGCATTTGTTAAACTATCCAGCAAACCAGCTCAGGAAAGCAAGAAAAGCTATTGGTTCCTCCTAGCTCCTTTTAGTTTGGGGCTTAGAAACATCAATGCATTTGATTACTAGTATTGCCACTTCCTCAGTGGTTTCTCCAAGAACACAGGTGACACTACCGATTTAATGAAATCCAGGCTCAGCACACCGTAGGGCAGCAGAACTGTTTTTCCTGAGGTCTGGAAAAGTGCCTAGTTGTTAAGAGTTTAAAAGAGCATTTGTACATGGTTTACATACTTGGTTAGCAGATTCAATTGAGGAGGTTTCTTCACTTTTCAAAAGAACCAAGCTTGTAATTAAACTACCATGAAATGGTTGGTTGGAGCTGCAGGTCTCACCAGCAGGTTTGAGTTACAGTTGTAGTGAAATGGTGGATTAAACAACCAGAATAATTATTGACTCTAAAAAGTAAACTCACTAATAGCCATACTGGAGAAATTTTTAAATACACAACCATAAGACAATTTTTTAATGTCTTGCTATGCAGCCCAGTCTTGACATGAACTTGTGATCATCCTACCTCAGTATCCACAATGTCTACAGATCACAGGTATATACTACCACACCCTTGCAAATGTCCAGTAGTTTAATAAATGAATCCTTAGCTACAAGGGTTAGTGGAGATAGGTTATGAAGTTGCAATTAAATTAAAGAGTGGCAACTCTAAACTTTAAGATACCAAATCCAAAACCTGAGAGCACCAAGGATCAAAGCTATTAAAGGCCTCAGGGCTGTAGTCTCAACTCTTTAAAGAAGGAGTTGCCAATGCAAATACAGCCAATTTAATTGTATGCAGGGGAGATGAGAAGATTCCAAACTGGTAATTCCTCCAACAGAAAAACCAAACTGGCTTTCTTTTCTCAAAACAAACAAAACAAATTGCCTACCAGTTATTCAACTGGAAACTCCTCTCTTTAACTCTCTTTAATGGCTCACATAGGGCTTCAGTTGACTTGAAAAAGTGCCTCTCCTCTATTGGGAGGGGAGGAGGTGGCTGTCAGCGCCTTGGTTATAATGTTTTCAACAGCCAGTGTCCCTCCCAAAGCATTTAAAACAAGAGAGAAGCATTCAGTGAAAGCTAGGAAAGACTACTTAATATAAAATACAAATTAGTTTTACCATATGCTTCCTCCAGCAGCTTAAAGAAATTGAGATCATGAAGGAAGTACTCTATGTAGAAACACTATGGTTTGTACATTTTTTATTATTTTTTGATTTTTATGCAATAAATTTTGATCAAATTTTTAATGGCAGGCTCACAAAACAAATCTCCCAGCAATGGAAGATTATTTTGCCTGGAGTCATCTGGAGAATGATCAGTGCTACTAAGAATCTTCTACAAATCCAGAGAAAGAGAGGTTCATTAAAAATGAAAGAAAAAAAGAATAAAACTCACAACAAAATAAACCAAACAGGCAAGCCAAAAGAAAGGCAGACTCTGGGGCCCTCTTCCAAGCAGTCCATAAAACATTTGAAACACAACTCACTTAGGGTAAAAAACATAGCAAAGTAGAATCAATTTCTCTCTCCCAAACTGTTCAATTCTGAGCCCACCCTCCAAGCAAGGCAAAAGACTGGGGTCAGGGGTTGTGCTAAGAGTTAAGAACTAGATAGGAATGTATCTTCTGGGCTGATACTGATTTTAAGTTTTTCCACAAGGTACTGGGGACCTGGGAATCTTTTGAGAAAAGGGACTAAATGATTCAGCGCTTCTGCCAATGGAGACAAATGGTGAGACTGTGGCCAAGAACTAGAAGCAGAGGAGCAGTGAGTTGAGTGCATTCATTAGGTATGTTCAGTAAGACTCTAGGACAGGCCTGAGGGGCTTCTTGGGATTAAGTATAGCAAAGTAATCTGATACCATTGGGGAAGATTGTCTTTTGTTTGATAGTTTTGGTTAAGATTATTCTCCTGTGTCTTTGGAGATACTGGTGGAGGCCAGAAGAAGGCAGCAGATCCTCATAGAGTTGAAGCTACAGGCAATTCTGAGCTGTCTGACTCTGGTCCTCTGAAAAAGCAGTAAGAACTCTTAAGCAGACTTGAGGTTCTTTTTTTTTTCTTAAAGAGTCTAGTGCAATGAACTTTATATTTTTATCAGCATCAGAATTAACCAAAGACATTTATGATGCAAATTTAAGACACTCATCAGTTCAACATAGGGCGGGATCAAGTCTTTATTCCTCACTCCCAGTATCCCAAGGCTAAAGCCAAAAGGCACAAGAAAATCCTTTGTGAAGGACACAGTGTACTGAATGAAGGGATGAAAGCTGGTGAATCCAAAATAAAAAAAAGGCTTAAATAGAATCAAAAGTCATTAAAGCTTTACAATTCATTTTAGCTTTACTAAAAGTAAAAACACAAAAAAGGATGCTTCCATCAGAAAATAGTTCACCAAGGAAAACTGGGAGAGCCACAGATTTCCACAGGCTGGGTAGGAATTAATCCCTAGACCCTAACAACCAGCACCTTGGGGAAAGTGGTGCCTTCCATAACAATTTACATGCAAAACAGATATCTCTAAGAAAGATCAAAGGAATTTTACTGATAGTTTATCATACTATTAATTGAAATGTCTAGCCACACTTAAGCCAGAATTCTCTATGTGAGCACTACTGACATTTTGGACTGTAGCAGGGCTTTGGGGCACCTTTAACATATTTATCAGACTAGCTGTGAGTAGCATATGCACAGTCTCAGTTTTTTGTTTGACTTGCTCTGTTTCGTTGTTGACATAGGGTCTCATGTATCCAGGGCTGCCCTCGAACTCACTGTGCAGTTTAGGATGGCTTCAACTTCCGATCTTCATGCTCCACCTAAATATTGGGATTACAGGCCTGTGGGAATGATCAAAATAGGGCTTCATGTATGCTAGGCAAACGGACCTAAGTTTCCAACCCTATTTCTCCAGAACCGCCAAATTCCTCCTCACGGTGTGGACCATGATAAAACACTCCAATTGAGAGTCACTACCTTAACCTAAGGGGTTTTGCAATTAGGAAAGCAACAAAGGCCTTGTAATCAAATAGGCTACATCACATAAAGGTTAAACATATCTCAGGGAGGATAGATGAGGCATCTTATTCACACCATCGTTCAGTATGCAAGAGGATCTTGAGTTAAGGCCAGTTTGCACTGCACAAGCCACCCCCACATACACATCTGGAAGCCTCAATGGGCCTAATTTATTAATATTTAAAATGTGGACTAGAGCTGCCAAAGATTCACAAGCATGATTCAAAGGCAAACCTGGTCCTAGTAAAATTTACTCCAAGTAAAATAAAGTTGTGGGGCAATCCCAGTGCTCTCACTCCAGCCTACATTCTATTCTTGGCATCCAGAGAAGCCCAAGGGACCAGTAAATTCAACCCAAGCAGCCTTTGGATTTGAATGTGGCAAAATATGCATCCGTATTTTTCACTAGTTGAAACTCCACATCTTCTCCCCTACTACTCACTCCTATCCATTATCACCAATAAAATCTTGTTTTTTTTTTTTCGGTTTTCCGAGACAGGGTTTCTCTGTGTAACCCTGGCTGTCCTGTAACTCACTCTGTACACCAGGCTGGCCTCGAACTCATAGAGATCCACTTGCCTCTGCTTTCCAAAGTGCTGGGATTAAAGGCACGTGCCTAGCCCAAAATCATATTTTTAATTACATTTTTATGTCACATATTCTAGCTAAAACTAGTGATTTTGTTCTTCAGTGGTCTGAAATTCTACATTTTTACCAGACCTGTTGCTCATGTTGGGCCTGGTTGGTGATCACATCTTTAATCTCAACACTCAGGAGGCAGAAGCAGGAAGATCTCTGTTGATTCGAGGCCAGTCTAGTCTACACAGCAAGTTCCAAAACAACCAGGGCTACATAGGGAAATCCTGTATCCAAAAACCAAAAAGAAAGAGGGGTGGGTGGGGAGAAGCATGTTACTTTAGAAAGGGATGCTTTAGTTCAATAAAGGAAAGGTGTGCCTGGCTCACAGATAAGCATTTATCACACAGCTAACATTTACCCACTATCTACAATGTACCACTTGTATCATCTACAATGATTCACGACATAGATCACTTTAGAATTCGGCCTCCTGGATATATCCAGTCCAAGAAAAGACAAAAAGAACCATATTAACCTAAGTTTTCAGAGCTGACTGGCTGGCAAGATACTGTTCCAAAAAGCACGGAGAGGATATAAGGCCTCACTCAGCTCTACATAGTCAGCATCCTGATTAGGGGCAAGGACCAGAACAAAAAGAGTTGTATCCTCCACCAGTCCCAGGATGCCCAACTACACCACGGGTCCAATTTATTCTTGTTAGCTTGGAGCTGAAAAAAAGAGAATCTCATGTTTCCTGGAATCAACAGTCCTCAGAGCCCAACACTTTACTTACAGAATGACCCAAGATGAGCTTTGTCGGGCTGGAGTGATGGATCAGCGGTTAAAAGTACTGGCTGCTCTTCCAGAGGACCCAGGTTCAATTCCCAGCACCCACATGGCAGTTCACAACTGTCTGTAAGTCCAGTTCCAGGGAACCTGACACCCTCACTCAGACACACAGGCAGATGAGACACCAATGCACACAAAATGAAAATACATCTTAAATAAATAAATAAACAACCTTCTGGATTACTTCATCAGCCAGTGCGCTAAGGACTACCACCAGACTCAAGTGGTTGGTCGGGTTGGCGTTAGCTTGCATTGGTAACCAGGTTAGACTGGACCGAAAACAGTAACAGTGTGAAGTAGTTGAAGTTTAATTCCACTGAAATCACATCATAAGACTGCTCCCTTAGGAAGGATTACTGACAAATGGGAGGGGGAGCACATACACCCAAGCTCTACAACCATTTGACTCACCCTTGAGTCACATCCAATACTTACACGCCAGGAGTAATGCCTTTGACTCATTATCAACAATTAAATGTTTTAGAGACCTCACACATGGATCTCTCACCAAGCACCCCTTTATTGAAACGAAAAGGAATTTAAAAATCCTTATGATGTAGTCAAATCACCCCATTTTCCAAATGAGAATGTGGATAGAAAGGCCATGCCTTAGGCTTTATTTAGTGACAGAACATTTTAAGAATTCCAGATCTTACATACATATAAACAGATGGCTGAATATAGTTGGCTTTTTTTCCCTAAAAGATTCATCACCGTATTATCAAAGCTTTCTTTGCTATCCTTAGGTTTTTGAGGTGGACTCTCACTCCCCAGCCCAGGTTGTCCTTGAACTCCTGCTTCACCACAGGGAGGAGACTATACACGCCCAATCCTTTCTTGTTTATTTGTTGTTGTTTTGAGAAAGGATCTAACCAAGCTGGAAGGGATTTAGACACCATAAGACCCACTTGAGTGCTGAGATTAAAAGTCTGCCAATATGCCTGGCTTCAGTTTTCTTAGTTTTAATTAGGAACAAAGTGCAAGTTAAAACATTAACAGCTAATGCTTGACATTTCCCTCGTAAGCGCCTTTCCCTGAGCTACACGTGTGCCCTCGCCCTTCATGCTCAACACTGAAACTAAGCAGAAGAAGGTTCAACCATCGCTGGAAGGGCTAGAATTTTTCTGACCCCATGCTGAGCTCACTGTCCCTCCAGAAAAATCCAAGAAGGATTAAGAGAAGTGTCCCCGTGGGGATTACACGAGGGGCCACATCCCCCAAATTCACCCCTTCCCAGTTGGGAGGCCTTTGCTCTGCTCACCAGACTCTTCACTTTCCTCACCACCCAATTCAAGGTGCTAGAATTCCCATTCGTCAGTCAGCCCTGAAAGCGGCCAAGGTAACTAACTCTCAGAAAAGCCTTTGTGATCTTACACTCCCCCCAGCTCTACCACCCAAGTACCATCTTAGCTATGGCCGCTTTCCCAGTTGCCTC